GAGCTCTTTGGTATTTTTCAAATGGTGTTATTTACATTTCTTCATCATTTTGGGTTTCTTCTGCTAAAATTAAATATTCTTTTTCATTTTTTTCTTTTGGTGTTTTTGTTTTTAGATTTGTTGTTGTTAAATAATCACACGTATCTCTATCCAACTCTTCAACATTTTTTAAATCTTTCTCATCTTTTGGGTTATGAATTTTTAAAAATTCAATTTCACTTAATGAACTTGAATAATTATTGCTATCATTCAAAATATCATCTGTTGGTACTTCTTCATACAATTTTTCTGATCCTAAAGAACACAAGACTTTAGAAATACCGTCTAAAAACTTGTCACTATCAATTAACCCATCAAGGTACACATTGGTCAAATTATTAATTTGGATATTTTCTTTTGAATAAGTTTTTCCTGGTCTGTTAATATGTCCAAAGGTTTTTAATTTATTAAGTCGTTGAAATTCTTCTTCTTCGTTTATTTTTACTGTTTCTAACCATTGCCACTGTGTTGGCTTCTTTTTTCCAATTCTCTTGAAAACGCATTGTGATAACTTTCAGTAAAGTTGTTGGTTCTTGTTGACTGAGAAAACTGACACCACATTTGAGGTGGGTATATACCATTTATCCACACCTTTTCAAAATAATTATATAATATATTCAGATCATCGTCATTGATCAAATTTGTTGCAGCTTTCATTTTATTAAATTGTTGTACAATTTCAGTACTACGACAAAATGCAATTGATTTGAGTTTTCCGACTTGTTCACAAAACACCGCGTCGTGTTCTAATTTTGATTTCATACCATGTGTTGTACAAAACCGCAAAATTGATTGTCCGTAATGAAAAAGGCATCCTTTGACAGTTGTTTGTGTTTTATTTTTTAAAACGTTTACTATTGCAATTTCGAAATCTACCATCGTTATCGTGTGTTTATCAAATAATTTAATACCAAATTCATTTCCAAAATTTATAATGACTTCTATCATTTTTTCATATGTAGATTGTAATTTGTTCATCAACAAACAATGAAATAAACGAAAACATTGCCCCTGACTAATCAAACCATGTATTGTATAAGATTGGTAATAAGGAGTTGGAGCGGCTCTAAAAGTTCCATCCATAAGAAAGGTGTTAATTGTATTAAGATTAAGCATTTTTTCTTTATTGACAAATATTGACATAATATCATCTTTGTAAAGCAAATACTTGGGATAGAATTCGTGTTGTTCAAGATATCCATTTGTTGGTCTACTTTCTTTTGCTTTTTTCGTGAACAATTTGTTCGCTGAAGACATTCTTCCTTTATACTTACCATAATCAAATCCCTGCATTGCAGCAGATCTTTGCAACAAATGATTATGATCTTGGACACGTCTTTCTATGTCGTGAACCAAGTTAATTTTGTCCAACTGTTCAGATATTGCATGGTTGTGCTCACTTCCGTTAACAAAAATAGCTTCTTCGAATTCCAGCAAAGCACTTTCTTTTTTAAATTTAGTAATTTTAATTTTAACTTTGCAACCAGTTTTACTACTTGAACATTTGTAAGTATTTAAT